GAGCTTCCAAGCTGATGGAGGTGTAATACATACACCAGACAGCCTGGGATGCATCCTCATGTCTGCTGTAACGAGTCAGGCATGTTAGGCAAGTTACTTCACCTCTCAGAGACCAAGTTTCTTTCTATGTTAATACAGTCTAAAGGATTTCTGTCAACATTCAGTAAGATAATAGGTCAAAGACATCCCATCAAGCCATGCAATGGTACATGAACAGATTTGGAATGGTGCTGCATGGGTAAGATCCTAGAAGTGAGAGAACCTGGTTGTTATGGGAACAACAAAGATCAGCCTTTTGGAGGTCCCTAGAAGGGGACACCAATGAATAGTGGCCCTTTTCCCCACCTGGATTTAGAAATTTGGGGAAAATTTTTTTTTAAATTCAGTGATGGAGATCTTTGAAATGGTAATGGCTGAATTGTTGAGTAAGCATAGAACAAGGAAAAGGAAACTGGAAAACACCAATAATTGTTGATCTAGGTACAGTTGCCTCCCAAACGGAAAGAGTCAGAACATGGAGCAACAGAGGAAAAGACTGGCTGACTCCTGAACAGAGAAAGGGAGAGCAAACCTGAACCTGCCCAGTTGGTTTTTCGCAGTTTATCAATCAGGGAATCCCAGGGGCAGGATGAGCAAAGGGTGGAAGATCTTCGGTATGCATTAGGAAACCAGTTGCCTATGGCAAAGGGATATGATTAGTGTTTCCTTCTAATACAGACTCGTTCCAGACATGGAGACTGGAAAGTGGCTGACATTCTGTGCATGGAAAGGGTTAGGAGGCAAGGTAGAGGCTGGATTGACAGGCAGGGGCCAGATCATGAAGAGCCATAATTGGCAAGCAAGACAAAAGACTGAGGTGAATGGTCACAGAGAGGGAAGGAAGACAGACTGACCAGGACTATCAGTCATGAGATGGCCATGAAGAGTTACAAGTGTGGCTGGCATTGCAGAACACACCTATATGATGACAAAGATCCTTGTGCTCAGAGGATGACAGAAGGCTTTGCCAAGTCCTCAGGCAGCTGAGGATGCTGGCCCAGAAGCGAGGCCTGGGAAAGGTTAATCTTGGCAATCTCCAAGGATCCAGGAACCACACAGCACAGTCAGTTCAGAGAAAGTCAAGTTTGAATAAGAGGATAAAAGACCCAAATGAGTAACAGGATATAGTAAACAGTGGCAGTCTCAGAATTTTCTGAAATGGGAAATTTGGGGTGATAACAAAAGCAAAGGGGTGAGCCTGAAAATGGGTGGCTCAAGAAGAATACAGGTAAAATATCATTGGCTTCTAGTGGAAGAGGTCAGAGATTCTAGAGGAGGTCATCTACAAGGATGTGGCTGATGTAAGTTAACAAAGAACAGAGATCTCCTATATTCCACAAATGGGATTGGGTCAATTAAAGTAGCCACATACAAAGGAACCAAAAAACAGAGACATCACAACCTTCAAAATAGCAACAGCATACTATAAAAAAAAGTAATGAGAATAACTCAGCTGGTTTATGTAAAGACGCAGACCATACAGAATCAAGTTATTTTCAGTTGTCTCAAGATAAAGCCTTGTGACAATTACAGAGATAACAGCGACAGAGGTCATTTTTATTCTTTCCTTCTAAAGAACAATGTGCTGGCTATAAATCTGTACAGAAAACCTTCCCAAAATTTGTTATCTTCAATAATTGGTTGAATTCTAATTTTCCTGAGATGATTCCTCTCCCCACAAAGCCACACTAATCAGACAGGTGTCTCTCCCTACACCACAGATTCACAGGCTCCTGGGGAAGTGCATTTGCAAACCAGGCAGCACACAGGCTGTGAGTATATGACACAAATGGAATCTGCTCCATAGCCTCAGAAACAGAGGGCATCAACCACATCAGCTGATATTTGTGATTACTACTATTATTTCCCATAATTGCCATTCTGAGATCTGCTCATTTGCATCATGCTAAGCACTTATAATTAGCCAATGAAGGATTTGGAGCTGAGCTAGCTTAAGGAACACTGAGGCCTATGGGGATATAATGTATATATAGCAATTCTATCTCATAATGCTGAATATACAGATGAAGCTTTTTCAAGCGATGTCTTTTTAAAATAGGATGAAATGTATTCATTTCTGTTGTGGCATTCAGTCATCTTGGATAAATAACTACAGATACGCTGGGAGAAAACGAGGAAAAGCAATTCTCTCAAATCACAAGGCTTGGTCTTAGCAATGGGTTCCCTGCCAGCAGATGTCCTTGAGAATGCCGACCTTCATTGTGATCATCTAGAAGCAAAGAGCTTTGAAAACAGATCTTCTTCCCCCATTTACTTTTCCTTGTCAAGATACATAAAAGAATTCAAGTGAGCCCACTGGTTAACTGAAACAGACCTGACCTTGAGTTCAGAGAGCTTTCTAATGCTTCCCACCTGCCTTTGCAAAGAACAAAGTTTCCAGGACACAGCAACAGCAAAAAGGAAGGCGATAGTGTAGCAGGGGCGGCATATCACGGAAGCTTAGCCCAACACCGAAAGCACTGTTACTCTTAACAAATAACCTCTGATGCATTTATGCTGTCTCTCTTTCTCCTTCCCCATCCCCATTCTCTCTGTTTCAAGAAAAGCAGCCACCAGTAATGTGAAGACATGAGGCAGTCAGCCCCAGAGGCTCTGCGTAATCTGGTGTCCATTTCATCTGTCCCCGTTTGGCACTCGGTGGGTCCTCTTCATCCGGCAGAGTGAATGTCTCATTGTCTCAGATTTCTGTCCTCTCCTACACAGGTGGGTCCTCCCCACCACACACAGCCTGCAAACATTCCTACCTCTACCTACTCTGCTACCCTGCCTGCAAAAGTTTGTCCTCTCCCACTGTCCAGATTCTTCAAGGTCCAATTTATGTTTCTAATCGTTACCTTTCCAGCTTATCCCTCCCACTTACTGTTGAACTGGGGACAGAAAACAATGATCTTGTGGTTAATATCATCTGCTAGTGCACCCGAATTATAGCTGGAACATTCCAAAGTGACTTCTGTGCTTAAGGCACTATGTTAGCAATGACACTGAGAATGGCCCTACGGGGAATGACGTAGAGTGTGTCCAGTATTTGCCAACCATGGTCTAATCATTATGGCAGTGGTTTAGAGTGGAACTTGTTGTCTGATATTACCCAACCTTATGTAGTGTTGTGGTTTTATGTCAGCTCTGATAAGATTTTAAGAGTTTGAAAGCAAGGCTGCTGCAATTATACAGAGAAAGGACCATAAAAGAAGTCAGAGAAAGTTACAATTGGTCTCCTCACCACAATAGTACAGAGACACGAACCCACTACTACATTCCCAGCCCTTTTTTATTTTGAGACAAGGTCTTGCAAATTTGCCTAGGCATGCCTCAAAACTACCATCCTCCTGCCTCAGTAGCTGAAATTATACACATGGGCCACCACACCCGGCCACAAGTCATTCTTGACTAATCCCTTCTCAGTATTGGTCTAATAGGCCCCAGAAAGACGGTTTCAAGAACACCTGTTCAGGAGCGGTAAATTTCCTAGTGTATCTCATAGACGTATGTCATATATAAACAAGTTACTCATTTGTTTGCAATTGAAGACATTCCTCCCTTCACAGAAATGTCATTCCCCAGCTTCCACAAAGCACTTCCTTCTGAACACAGGACAGGAAGAGGCCAAAGTACTGTCTAGAACCTTGTGCAGTGAGCATCCAATCAGAACCTTCCCCGCTTTCTTTCCCCGAGGTTAAAAAGGGCCCTGGTTAAAAACTGCTCAGGCCTTGCCACTTGCCGGGGGAACCATCCTCCCGCAAGTTCTCGGCTTTTCTAGCCCTCGGTTTCCCCAGCTGTACCAAATGGTACTGGCACATATAAGATTGTTGCATGACGTGCGTAGAGCAGCAAGCGACACCCGGTGAGTACCCGCTCCAAGCTGATTTATATTATCTGTATTATCATCTTTCCTCTGATAATTTGGAAATACTTCCATGATAATATAACAGCCCGAATGAATAATGGATCTCATATTGCTATTTCTCTTAACCTTTGAAGATCGTTTTAAACCCAGGAGCATCAAGAAACCCCCTTGGGACGGCTGCCCTGGGAAACAGTCTGGAGTTGCTGGACATCAGCTCATCGAGTTTAACAGCTCTCTGTTTTCTTCTTTTCCTTTCCTTCGTCCCCTTCCTCCTTTCCTCCGGCTCTCCTGTATTTGTGACGACAGCAAGTGGAAGCATAGTCTCTGCCTTTCTGCGAAGCTCTCCGCGCCATGCCTGGCTGCACTGCGATCCCGTCTGCACGCACCTCCCGCCTTCAGCCCTGAGCAGAGCCCTGCCGCCCCCTCCCCTCCGCCGTGATTGACAGCCGGCGGGGACGGAGGGGGCGGGGCCTTCGGAGCGGGGCGGGGCCTTCGGAGCGGGGCGGGGCCTCGGAGCTGTCCGGGCTCGTGCCCCGCCCCGCCCCCCGGTACGCCCCTCTTGCCCAGAGGAGAAGCCTTTGTTTTGGTGGGCTGATCGGTTTTCCGGAAAAAGCCGAGTGTCAAGGTTTTGCTGCCTCCACCTGTTTTGTTTTGATGGGTTCTTTTGTTATCGGTGAGAAAGGGGGTGGCTACACCTTCCTCCGTTTCTATTGGATAAAAACGCGAAGGGTTCATTGAGTTCCCGACGCTGCTCGTGGCTCACGGGCTGCCAGGTGCGGGGAGGCAGCCGGCCTGGCCGGGCCTCGGGGAGGAGCCGGCTCTCGCCGGCGGAGGAGCCGGGCTGCCTGCGCCCCACTTGTCCCGAGCTGCAGCACCCTCTTCAACACACCCCTGTTTTACACGCTATTGAATGACTGGCTGCTGCCGGGCGGAGGCCCAGGAGTGGGATCTAGACTTCCTTCCTTGGCCTTCCCCAACCCGCCCCAGCCCAGCGCCACTGACCCCACCACCACCCTTAGCAGTGCAGGATTAGAAGCAGGATTAGAAGCCATCAAAGACATTCCCAAGGTCAGGAGTGGAAGGCAGAGGTCTGCGCGTGTGTGGGAGGGTGGTGTTCAACATTTATTGCCTTCAAAGGGAACAGCACCTCTGGGCGAGCAGACCTTCCTCGGTGGGGGCGGACGCCTCCCCAGTGTCCTCGGGGAGCACATTCCAGAGAGTGAATAAAGTGTCCAGGGATGCTGGACGCAGGTCACAGAAATGACAGCGATTCAGTAGGATGAGCAGTTGTTTACAGCCCTCCCAGGATGCCACAGGGCTTACCAGCCAGCCGGGCAGCTCGGAGCAGGCCCAGGCGAAGGCTGAGTTCCTATGTGAACCCCGGTTCTGCTGGAAGAGCTGAAGCAACAGTGACTAGCCCAGGGTCACACACCAAGCTTGGGACGGAAATAACTCTGACTCTTCCTCCTTGGCCCTGACAGCGGCAGCATGGCCCTATTACTGCTCTATCATTCAAATCTGAATCATTTAAAATGCACCTAATTGCAGACCCATGGGGAACTGTAACCTCCGTGTGACTCTTAACTGCCAAGGAGCCCAGGTAGGAATGACCAAAGTTTTACAAATGCCTGTACGTGGAATTAAAATGCTGGGGATGAGTCGTGTTTGCAAATGACTTTGACAAGTACCATATTTAGATTTTTTAAGGACTGAATTTGAACGATCACCTCCAACTTGTCATGATACTGGACAGATCCCCAATTGGGATTCAAATAGGATCCACTGAAAAAGGCATTTGGGCTCAGATATTTCTAAGCAGTGAGTCTTCATATCTGCTTTTTCTTTTGTGTGCCCACTCAAGTACTGTCATGCTTCCGTGTTTAAATTTGCCTTTTAATGCCTATATTGGCACCTGCGAGGGCTGGGGAGGGCCTGGGAAACCACTGGACTGATAAACTCAGATCTTTACACGGGGCTGGACACGTGCTGTGCTCAAGAAAGAAAGTAAATTCCAGCTTGCAAATTGCTCTAACGATTCATTTGTCCTCAGAACAACTCCGCCTACCTGCTTGCAGGTATCCAGGTAAATGACAAGTGGGCGGGACCTACTGACTGTTTCAATCGCTAAGGTCTCAGCAATGCTTTATCTGTCCAAGCTTCCATGCTGTCACCCATTTCCTGCTCTGGACCAACCAATGCCCTTCTCCCTCCAGCCTCCTGTCCACCAAACTTGATTCTAGTCACTGTTCAGGCTGCCTGACTGTCTGCTTCATTCAGCCACAAGGGATGAAAGGTGCCTGGTTGCTGTTGCTTTGAGAGACACTTGAAAAGGTGAGCTAAACTCTCCATTTTCCTCTCTCTGCATTTAGGCCACTGGTCTAAGGGATCTGATCGAGGAATTTGAATGAGAAATATAACCAAAAGGGCTTAGCCCTGGGGGAAACAGGAAGAGTAAAGATGTCTTGGACATTCTGGTTGTACAATGAAGTTCTCCCATGTCAGACATTTAATCCTTTTTGTTTCTCCTAATTGTTAATCCAACCTCTGCTTGTCAGGAAAGTTGATCTGATTGTGTAAAAGCCTGGCGCGGAGAGGAGTGCAGTGGAGAGTTTTTTGAAATGTACCGAAAAGGTGTGGACCTGTTCAGCCTGTTTAATGGGGCCTGGAGGTCCAGGGCAAACAGAATTCAGAGTTGCCTTACATTTGCCTGTTGTGTTTTTAGTTTTGTTTGGGCCTCATTTTAATGTGCTCCTCTCCCCAGGGGTGATTTCTACCAAAGCCTGTGCAACATTCTCCCCGTCTCATCTCTGAAAAAGTCTTCATTTTCTTTGCTCTTTGTTGAACACCCTTTCACAAACATTTTGCAGCCTAGATTGGAATTGTTTACTATCAGGCCCAGCCTGGCTGCCTGATGACCTCTGGTTACAGATGATTCCTTTGGTTAAAGATGAATCCTCCAAGGCCACAAGGATAACTGCAGGCAGTGACATTTAATTTTCTGAAACTCTTTTGGTCTCTTTTTAACAGCAAATATACCAAATAAATATACCAAAGAGATTGTTCTGCCAGGACATGACCTGCAGTTTTAACTCTTAGATCCATTTTTGTTTTCTTAATCTTGACCGCCCAGCCTGGGCTACTTCTGTTCTTAACAACCCAGTGGCCACTATACTGTTGTTATCAAAAGGGGAAAAAAAAATCATAGTCCCTACTGAGATGACCTGGAAAACCTGAGGAGAAAAATGAAACCGTGAGGCAGTTTATTCTGGATTCTTTCATTAGCTGTTTGTTTGTTTGTTTGTTTGTTTTTCCTCGCACACGTGCGCTGAGATTTAAATTAGTAGTTAAATTTGTAAGGGAATAATCTGTTAAGAATTATGTTCTATTTATCTATCTAAAATATCAAAATATGAAGTAGAACAAGTTGAGGAAACTTTTCCCTTAAATGGAAAGTTGTTTCTTACCAAAAAGAAGCTACCTTTCTCTTGTGGCCAGTTTTTTCTTTTGCTCATAGTGTTCTCCTTTAAGTAACCTTTGTGTTTATGTTTTCTCCTGAGTTTGTGTCTTTGGAGAGAGTGACTGCTGCTTATACCTTAATAACATTCTCACTTGATTCAAAGCTTTGACAGAAAGATCTGGCTACTGAATCATCTAGATAGAAATATTTATCTAGATGTCGGAGTTCCTTTCATAATAATTTATAATTAAATAAATTTAATTTGTTGAGAGAACCGAACTGTGGACATTATGGCCTGTAATATAAAAAAAAAGTCAGACTACAATTTCAGAGTGAGAATGTCTAGAATATAGTTGGCTTGTTGGATAACTTGCCCATGGGTGCCATCCATTGTTCTGTGGTGTCTCCATCCCCTAGTTCTAGCAGCTATAAGAGCTGAAGGAAAATTGTATAGTCTCTTCCAATTATATTCTTGAGCATGTCACTTAGCTTCTCTGACCCTCGATTACTTCATCAGAAGGACAACAGTTACTAATCCCTATAATATAATGTGGTCCTGAGAAGTAAAGGAGGTCCTAACATAGGTAACTTCAACTGGCCAGTGCCTGAAGCCAGTGCACAGCCAAATACAGTCCAGGGCCATCTTTTGCACAAGAGCTTTCATGGGTAGATTGAGGGTGTGTTCTGAGCCTGCGGAGGTAAAAGACCTGTGGTTGCACTTGTTAGGAACCTTGCTTGTTCTTGTTATTGAAATTGCTAACAGTTTGGAAAAATAAAACAGGCAGGAGGAAACAGAAATCCTTAAAGGATGTGATGTCATTAAAGGAGCCAGGCAGCCAAGTCCATTGCCTTGTAGGCAGAGCCTTTGGGAATTTGAGTAGTCCCACTCTTCCTACCTCCGGGCACAACAGAGCCAAGGTCTTCAGGGGAAATGCCCTGTTATTTGTAGTAATCTGACTTGGCAGGGAGCCCTGTTTTCAGTTTGTCTATGTGCAGGGTGGGCTGGGCACTTGGTTGCTCTAGTCTTACAGATAAGGCATGCTTTACCCCAGCCTGGGCATGCAAATGGTCACATCACTGGCAAGAACTGCAGTTAGTTTGGGTCTTGCACTGTACCCTCAAAGGGAGGTACATGGACCTGTTCAATATGGTGGCCTGCTTAGCAGAAGATCCTATGCCCTTCAATGACCTTGACTCACTGCATAAAAGCCGTTGTGTCTGTGGGCCCCTGATAGTTTATTCTGAGCTCACCCTGTCCCCGAGGGATAACACAAGTTTTCATCATTAAGAGCCAGCCACTGAGCCAGGCATGGTGGTACATGCCTGTAAACCCAGACAGGAAGATTGCTGTGAGTTCAAGTCCAGCTTGGGCTACAAAGTGAGTTCAAAGCCAACCTGAACTGCATAATGAAACCCTGTCTCAAAAAGAAAAAAAAAGCAGGTGACTAATACATTGAGGATAATAGGTTCTAATCTGAAATCTACTGCTAGCTTCTGTAGGGGACTCTGGAGAAGAATCTCAACCTCCCCACCCACCCATTAGTTTCCTTGTCTACATTCCCTACTCACCCCTCAAAGAATACTAAAAAGGTGTGCTTTACAACTCCCCCCTGTCCTTGCAACAGGTGATAGATGGGGTACCCACCAAAGTGAATGGCTCAGACTGCAGTAAACAGGCAGTGCCTTCCTAGGAAATTCTGATCTTAGCCATTGAATTCCAGGTGGACCAGTGCTACTTTCTAAGTGATCTGGCCTCTGCCATCTGACTATCTGGATTCAAAATTCAGTTCTGCCAGATGCTTCCTATGTGCGCTGGGATGGAGTCTTTAAACCTGCTTTACTCAACACTAAAAGAGGATTGTCATGAAGATACAGTGATCTGAAACATGTGAAATGTGTAGACTGGTAACTTGGCCCACAGTTAGCTGTGTTGTCGTCCTGAAAGCAAAGGCATGGTCAGTGAAGCAGGCTGATCTGATCTGAAGCCAAGCTCTGCCATGTAATCACAAGCCTACAGAATTACTTAAAATGGCTTTGCCTTGATTTAGTTATCTGGAAACTGGAACACTTAGCCAACTCAGTGCTGTTGTGACCAGCGATTGAATTGGATGAATGTGAAGTGGCTGGCATACAGTAAGTGTTAACCATTGTTATGCTATTACAGAAACAATTGTTATTTCATCTGTAGTTAGACTCTTTTGTCATACTGTACCCTGGATCTAAGGATGGGATCTGCAGTGGATGGAGGGCCAGACTCCAAACAAAAAAGATTTCCAGAGAGGCTAGGAGGCCCACTTGCTAACCCGATTTTCGTACTTACCTTGGCATTATAAGCCATGGTAGCTGCCAGCGTGCCTCCTGATTTTTACAGAACTGTGGGCAGCAAGAGTCCATGCTATAAGGAACATGGATCCTCCTGGAACTACACTTGTAGCTTCGTTCTTCAGAGTCTCCTTTTCTCCCTGACCTTGGCCACAATCTCCTTTTGATATTTGAATTTCTCACAAAAGTTGGAGAAAATAAGTGTCCTCCTGGGATTTTGGCCACTTGAAAGGCTACCTGTAAGATGCTGCCAAGACAGGACATGTCAGGGAGGCTCTCGGATGGGCCTCCCTCACCGCCTGGGTATTCCTGGACTTCTTGGTATTAGGAAACTATTCTTAGTGTTAATGTGTTGTAATTGCATAGACTCACTTTTATGTGGGTGGCACATTTTATTGTCCTCTGACAGCGCCTCCAAACTATCAAGGGCTTTACAAAACTATCTGGAGGAAAGACTGTGTCACTATTTCATGGTTAATGAGATTTAACCATCTACTATCCCGAAAGAATAGGTGTTGCTAAGAAAACGGTGAAAGTTGCCAAGTTCAAAAGATTGCACTGAGTTGAAATGGGGAATTCAAATTGTGGTTATCTCTGGCCTACCTTTGCCATTTCTTCCTGTCTCGTTACTTTCCATGTGATTAGTATGAGGAACAACTTTCCGTAAATTAGTGTTGTCCAAATGTGCAGGAGGCAGCCTGTTGGCTTGATGAGTTCCTTGTTACAGATGTGGCCATTTTTTGAGTACATTTGTGCCTTGTATGTGTTAATCAGATGGATAGATGGGTCAGTGGGTGGGTGGATGAATGAATGAATGACAAGGATGTTTGTGTTTTTTCAGCACAGTAAAATGAAGGTTATATTATGGATCTCATAGGATTATTTTAGAGATTAAATGATGCATGCCAAATACCACCATAACTATCTTGCAAGTAACAAAACGGCTCATTGAAAGTAATAATTTTTTAAATTTTATATTACATTTTGAAAAGGAAAAGAAAAAAGAATTCCTGTTCCAGACAGAAGGTAGATGAACTAACTTTAGATCTGCAGTTTTTGTGACCTGTGCTCTGCATCCCTGCTCATCTTCACCTACCTTTCTAAAACAACTCATTGTCCTTACCCAGAGAGATATATTCCTTAAAAGGGGGGTTGACTAAGTACACTGCTGACAGTGACCACAGCTTCTATCCCTATGAAATAGAGACCTTATTTCATCGAGTATGACATGTAACGTATAGACTTAAATTCTGCCATCAACTTTATCTGCTTCTTGTATTTGATCATCTGTCACAGGAACACAAAAGCCTTCACCAACAACAGAGTGGAAACTCTCCAAGAATTTTCTTTAATAGCTTCTTGGCACAGAGCACAGGAACAGTGCAGTGCATGATGTGGAGGTGTAAATATGTCATAGCCATCTGCTGAGATGATTTGCATAACTTGCTTATGACTACTTTTGTCAGTCATGTGGCCTTTTTTGAATACAACGCAGCATGTTTAGGCTCCTGTATACTCACATTAACGTGAGTCACTTTGTGTTTTCAAGCTC